GCATGTATCTAAATGGAAAAAATGAGCAACTTTGCTTAGCTTTTGAATACTTTAAGTGTATTGTCTTCCATCGTCTCTTGCCTGTATTGGAGCGCGGACCACTATCTGGCTTCCATAAGCTCACCCTTGTGGTCGGGGGTGCAGGGGGGATGTGTGTCCTTCGCATAGCGTAACGAAACCTACCATGCCTCCAACTCTCGAAGATGACATTCATTCTTCGATGGATGTATCAGGACAACTCTAATTTCTTTTTATTGCCCTTGAGAATCTAGCTCCCAAGCCCGTTCATGTAAATCTTTTTCCCCTTTTTCTTAGTTCTACACTGTCTTTAGACATCGGCACCGGCAGTATAGGAAACCTGCTGATGATGCCAAACCGGCGGTTGCCAAAGCTTCAGTACAGCCCTAGAATAAGCAATGTCCAGGTAAAAGATTCACTTTGAGTTCACCTTAAGTAGAGATAAAATGCTACAGGGCGAGTTAAAATTGACTAAGTTAAGTCAGTATACTAAAAAGACAGGAAAATAGAGAGGGGATTAACCAACGTACGTTTCGAAATCAAGGGAGTATAAGAGCAGTCCACCTCTGCAGCATGCATCTGATGAGATCGAGCCGAAAACAGAAACAGAGGAGGAATATTCTCGGTCTTCCCCCCTCTCCCGTCCCACTTCCTGTCTCCGATCCGACCTGCTTTTTTCCCCTTCCCGTCTTTCATATGGTCAATCCCAGCATTTCAAGAATTTGATTGTGATCAGAAATTGCTAGCCCATGCGGGTCACGCCGCTTTTTCCTTTCCCCGCCGGGACGGACTATATTTTACTGTACTCTTCTCAATCCAATGGGGCATTTCCCCTTTAAATTCTTTTGCCGATACATCGCGATGGTCGAAAAAAGTATCGATATCTCCAACCATCGATAGTGGTATCGATGCATCGATCTATTGTGACAGCCCTAGTTCTAACGGACGGCAAGAAATAGGCGTAGTGTAATGCATAGGATCGAGACGGATGTACTCAACTGGATTCAGGAAAAGGGCTGTCCGTAATGAATGGGAAGCTAATAGCAACTCCAGACATGTTAATCTGAACCATTATCACTCACCTCATTCCATATTTTCAGATGTGGCATGAATCCATTGCCCAAGAGTGTATTACAATAAAGTACGTTTCTATTGGTAGCTACACTTTCGTGCGTATGATTATCGCCACCCCCCTCCTGTTCTACCTTATTAAGCCTGACGTATGTGGAGAAGTAAAGGACTGGCAGACACGCCACAGAGATCTTACTGAATCAGAAAGAGAAAAGGCAGAAGAAATTCGATTTCTCACGTGAAGTTGAGTGTTCGGGCGAGAAGGTCCAGTACATCGACGAGAAATCCCTCAAAACGAATCTCTCCCGAGTCATTCCGAGCATAGACGAAGGGAGGGGTCTGCTGGAACAAAACGTCCCATCGCATCGTTCATTCTTCATCACGAGGTCCGACGGTAAGGTGTTACTTGTCAGTTATACCGACATGAAGGGTTGTGACACGGAGCTTTTCCCCTCCCAGATTGAATCGATCCGATTCCGTTTCGTTCACGATTAATCGACGGCTCGTCCGAGACCAGAATCCGACGCTTTGAATTTCCGGTTCCTCCTTCACGACCCTCATCCGGGCAAGAGAGACACGAGAAACTTCGTCGTAAAGATGAGAACTCGTTAGCTGCTCCATATATCTCTCCTGAAATACGAATAACTTCATTCCGTTTCATTCCAGATGGGACTTCCTCGGATATTTCAAACTCTTTTTCAAATACGATACGCATGAAGATTACCTGAGGGTAGGTGAGGAAGGCGACCCGACTGTCTAACCTCATGCGAGACGAGTACAAGTATCTCGGAGACACTGAAGTTTGGTTTGGGATGACGAAGAGCCAGTTGTAGAAGTGATTCAACATCCCCTTCGAGTCTGCCTCTGCTTTCCGTTCGTGTGGATTCGTAAACGGACATGAATTACAACATGAAATAAATATCAACATTAATATTTTTTTCATTCATCTCATCCGCTGGGTTCTAAGAGTCTCACCACACAGAAGATGCTGGATGAGCTCCTGCTTCACGAGAAGAGCCATGAGGGATCTTTCCGCCCTTCTCAGCCTTTCCCACGAAAAAAGTGAGAAATTCCTAAATGTTACGTGCGTGAATCCGATGTCTTCGGGCCGCATGAGCTCGGGGAGAAGAGAATATTTCCAGATGATCTCGTTCTCTTCGTCGGTTAAAATAAAAACATGACCGAGACCCTCGTGTGCTGCCCAGGCTTGCTAGATTCGGAATAACGTACGCATCGGATCATTCGTGACACAAGGCAACCAGGCAGGGAATTTCATGTCAGGAAATGACGCAGGACCGGCTCCAAAGGTCGCATTCCCGCAATCTTCTCTAAGCAGTACTTGGGGAAGAAAGGTAGAAATCAGAGAGATCTCATTCCTGAAAACCCAAATGACATTCTATCGATCGTTTGCATACCGACGTCTCCGGTGAATCGAATGGAGGATGGGACGACTTGGGTCCCCATCAGAAGCAAAAGATACCACTCGAAGAACATGGCGATATCGGTATACTAGAAGTATGTTGCCACTGGCAGTTCTCTTCGGTCGGAGGAAGTCGCTGCCTCTGCCTACTACCTCCATAACCTCCATGAACGTTACATTGGACCTGCGAGATATTTTAGCACTGTCCATCCGAGAACAAAGACGCGCTGCATAATTTACGTATTCCCCTCGTTAGCATCTTTGTTGTCAGATGTCACTAACTGTAATTCTTATTCTTCGTCTCATCGCAAGTAAAAGGTGTCTTTGGCTATTATTTGTGGGCTCCTGGCTCCTATTCCTGGCTCTTGTTTTTGGCCTTCAATAATTCCTGGCATCAGTTCTTATATTTCATTCTTTCACTTATACATCACTCTTCGACCTTCACGCAGAATCAAATCCTATGAAGGATGTCAGGAGATGAGAGATCTTAAGTAGTGTAAACGGAACGAAGAGATATTCTGGATATGAATTCCAACTGTTTCTCTTCGCTTTTTTTGTGCTCATCAAAAACTGCCTAGGTGAGTACTTCGAGCCGTTGCAATTGAACATTGCCTGCATGATTACATGAGGCAATTGGTATTTTCATGAGGTTTGTGCATGAAATTCTTCGAATCGGCTTAGATCGACGAAGAAAAGTATTATTGAAGCTTGCGTACTATCGGAAAGGTGCCTTTATCCAACGACGCACAAAATGCCGTCTCACGAAATGGGACGAAGAAGAATCACGAGAGAAGGGTGGTTACCCGTTCGAGTCGACACAGAAGAAGTTTTTTTCCGAAAAAAAAAATTTTTTTGAACCCCATGTCCCCGATTACAACGATGGAAAACGATACACTTAAAGTATTCAAAAGCTAAGCAAAGTTGCTCATTTTTTCCATTTAGATACATGCACCAAATTACAATATGGTAACTCTAGAGGCTGCAAGTTGAACAGCAAAACACAGCCAGGACCCAAATAAGAGTGTAAATTTAATGTCAGATGGCTGCATGGCCTTTTGTCCTTGAGAAGTCGTTTCCGATTTTCTATTTAAAAAAAATGCGGGCTAGACTTGCACCCCTTTGCTTTAGAACCCCCATTTTAGCAATTATTTAATAGTCTCTGGCTCAACTGAAGGATAATTGGTAAGTTACTCGTGAGAGGTCAGATTCGGAATTATTTAATGTTCATGAAATTAGGACAAAATATGCAGCGTTTCATAGGGAATCTAATGGTGTATTCCAAATCTATATCAGAGAATAGCTGGACATCAGGATTCAAGGGAGGCGGTGTGGAGTGTTTTTTTTTTACGCTGAAATATGGGCTGTGGTCATCGGTTCCTGTAACAAAAATCGATGTTATTATTCAGAAGCTGAGCCGTCCGGTGCCCTATCGGACGAGGAAGTTGTGATTATGGAAATGAAAGTGAGACGCGATTATCGGGTGACAGACGCGAGTGACGGCGGAGACATATAAAAACATCGCCGGTCGTGGTGGCAATAATTCGCATTCGCCCTCCTGTGCATTTTTTCTTTCGATCCTGTTGCTGTCCGTGAGGCACAAGGCCTGTCCGCCCGTCTGTCAAAATCTGGCATTTTTTAAGTTGTTGCTCGGTCGTTCGATGTGTTCGTGACTAACGTAGAGCGAGAACGAGCATTCGCTGAGAACGGCGATGATTTGCAGAATAATGGCGCAAATGTTGGCATTGAAGATGACTTCTACACACCAACAAGAGGCAGGAGGAGGACACAGAGTTGGGGCCAAGGTTTTTTCTTCTTCATAAGAATGACTTTCAATTTTGCTGCAACATCCATGACCAGCGTCCATGGGTGGTGGACTTAAGGCGACCAGAAAAGTACGAACACCAACACTATTGCAAGAATAAAGCACACGACATTGCCGTGTGCTTTATCAAGCCCTCGACATCAGTTCGTTTTACTCCAACCCTTCCGGATTTGATCGTCACCCCAATCATCTACCGAAACAATAGGATTTCCACTAGTTGAATCAGAGATTCTGTATAAACTCCTTGACTAACTGACGCGCAGCACGCGTCATGAACTTGGTTCATTGATTTTCAGTAAATTACAACAGATACCACCACTTGCTTTGCTCTAAGATGTTCTTTGAAACATCTACTTTAATTTTCTGTCATTGATGGTTCCGTATGCAAAGTGAAAATAAAATAAATATTTTCTGTGATCCCGGAATCGAGGCCTCACGAGCACGATCGCTCTAGGTGAGCGGTAGCCAAGCAAGCCAGCAAGAAGTCATTCTAGATGTTGATGTGATGTTAGAAAAGACGTGTGGACATCTTATCAAAAATAGAGGTCTGTGTGTGAAATAACGGAAAGGTTCCTTACCACTATGATATTTCCGAGAAAAAAAATGGCTGGGCAATGCATGGTGGAAAATAAACTTAATGGTTAGGCAAGGGGTTAATAATGAAGTCAATAGATCAAATGCACGAGTAACAGCTCTCCACAGATTCTCGTGCATTTCTTTTATTTTTCAACCGTCAGATGAACAATAAAGCAGCAAAACAAAACAGGATCTCTCAAATCACCTGCCATTCCAAGAGCCTTTCTGCTCAAAGCAATTTGAACAAATCCTGCAATGCCCATAACATACAGTAGCAGCATTATGTTTCGAATACATGAAGATCTCTCAGTACAAACTAACTCTCCATCACTGATTAAACACCTCAGTCAAAAAGATTGTGACAAATGGCAGAGTTCAAGGGATCAAGGGTCCCCTTGATGGAGGTATTCCCAGAAGAGGGGGACGATTATGGATGTGTTCAGGCCTCATACCATGTGGACCTGGACCTGGATTTGCTGGTACCATTGGGCCAAGGTCCAATCGCCTCATGGGTGGTCTTTCAATTACCCCCCTTGGTTGCCCAGGATTCATGGGTCTCATACCACCCATATTGGGTTCCAACTGTGGTCTCCTCCCAAGACCACCAGCATCATGAAGAGGCAGGTGAGTTCCTCCTCCTCTCCCCATGTCCATCAGAGATGGGATGTCTGATCCAGGTCCAGGCCCAGAGAATCGTCGCTCTGGAGAAGGTCCTGCTTGTGCCTGGGGTACATTAGAGTATAGTGGTCGATGGCTAGGTGATACACCTGGTGGGTGGTCCATCACCTCTCCAGGTCCCAGGCGTCCTAGTCCTGGTCCTGATAGTGGAGGGTGTCCTCTAGGAGGAGGCATTGATGGTTGACCAGGTGGTCCATATGGTCTAAATGGAGGTGGTCCCAACAATTGAGGACCTGGGCGAGGAGGAGGTGGATGCCCCATGTCGACATTTGGCCGGAAATCAGGTCTTGGAAAAGTAGGGGGATGAGGTGGACCTGGAACGATGACAGGACATGGACCTTGTCTGAATGGTGGAAAAGGTGGCGGTCCGGGATTATAAGGTCCTCCTGGTCCCGGTGCAGGTGGAAGTTGACTTGGAGGGTATTGTGGGAATCCAGGGCCAGTTGTAGGAGGCAACTGCTGCAATGGTGGTGGGGGTCTGCTCACATTCTCCGAATGATTTGGAGTTGCTGGTGATGGTGGCGAAATGGGGGATGTGCTGCCAGGTCGTACATCTTCATCTCTCTCCTTATCATGATCCTCCATTGCATACATGATGCGGAAAACCAGACTGATTCGCTCTTCCCTTGACTTAGGATCTTTGGGGATCTGAAAAACACCAGGGCAATATCCAGTATTAAAAATAAAAAAAAACTCCAAAAAAGATTAGCTACTTCCCATCTCTGGCTATCAAATGAAAGGGTTAATATATCATCGGAGAATAAAAAAGAAGAAAAAGAAACCTACCTGATGAAGCCAGTCCTCCTGAGTGGCACCCTCCATGAGAAGAAGACTGCCAGGGAAGAGTGGAAAGCGGATCATATTGGTTCGTCCTCGCTTCTTGATCATCTCCATTACACGTACTGCCCCTGTTAGAGAGATAAATGTAATACAGAAATTGAATGTGACAAAAATGAAACACTAGGCAGAAACTCTTCTTGATTTAGTAGAGCATTTCCTATGGACCATTACCAAGGGACACAGTGGCGATTGGAGGGTTCTTCCCAAGAGCCCTATGGTCATCACAATGCCAAGCAATGGAGTCATGACCAGAACGGTATAAGTTGAGGAAACAGGAGTTGTATTCATGTGCTGTGAAGCCAATCAGCCTAACAGGAAAGAAAGTATACATTTTACATCCTGCTTACAAATAGCTATGATGAGATCTTGAGATATGGGAACCTGTGCAAGATATCCAAAAGCTCAGGAGGCCAGTTGTCATTCTTCTCCATAACCAATCCAGAATAGCTGTAGTCACATGGACCAAACCATGCCACCAGTCGTGGCTGAGGCTTCCACTGTCCTCCTACCAAAACTTTCTTTTGATGCCAACGGACAATACGGCGTAAACTTCGAAACATTTTCTGCAAATGAAATGGAACATTCAGTAACCCAAGAAAGCATAATAAAGAAAAGACCCCACAATAAATTAAGTCAAGAGTGAATGACAAGGATTACATTGCTGCCTTTATCTGTCATGAATCTTGGCCAGTATCTCAAGATCGAAGTTCCAGTTGCTGTTTCACTGATGACCAATTCTCCCCCATCTTGCACAAACCAATCAGGCACATTGAGGCAAGGTGATGCAGTGGGATCAGGAGCCATCATTCCCTGAAATCCAAAGGATTAAGTTCCAAGCAATATGCAATGAGGTTTTCATTATTGAACTTGGAAGTTGAAAAAAAATTACAGAACAATTAACAAACCATGGGATCCATGGGAATAGGCTCTCGCTTCTCCTTCTCATGATCTGGTGACATTGCCCGTAATGATGGCACTTTTGGTGGGGCAACATATTTGGGAAATACTTCTCCATCATCAGTGCGGACATGACTCTGTGCCTCCTCCTCCCAATGCTTTCGCTTTTTTCGTTTCCTCTTGCTGGATCTTGGAGAATCCAGAATGTCATCATCATCAGAGATCTTGTCAAGGTTGTCCATTCCATACCCTCTACTCTCTGTTTCCTGATACTCAGCATAATGGTGTTTCTCCTGGTAGACCACATCAGGCTCTTTTGTAGAGTATCCATAAGATGAGTCCACATTCCAAGCTGGGGGAACATTCCTATAATCTTCAGCCTTTTTCTTCTCCAATTTTTCATCTGTCTTGTCTTCTGTTTTTTCCTCAGATTTCTCCCTGCTCTTTTCTTTCTCAGGAGATGACAAGCACACCTGAATACCTCTATTTTTAAGGATTGGTTTGGCTGTAAGGGACAACATGTCCATTGGGCACTGTTTACACCAGGACTGGAACTCATCCTGAGCTTTCCTCTGCCTATAAAGAATACAATATCATATGTGAATAGTGTATGAGCACTGCATTTACTTAGCAAAAGTGTCAAAGAATATCATTTGAAAAAAAAAAACATACTGTTGGAGATTCCCAAATTCCTCCAAGAAGTCCACCTTTCTCTTAGCAAATTGAACTTTGTGATGGACAGCAAGATCCTTGCTAAGCAGTGCTAGATCAACAGCAGCACAGAAACCCTTGACATCAACAGGGTATCGCTGGTAACACACATCAAGTACATGTTGATAGAGACGGAAGTTGGAGCGATCCTTCTTCAATGCAGTCCTCAAGATGGCAAGAGCACGATCAGGTTGCCCAAGGATCTGAATAACCCAAGTGATATGGGATTCTACAACTGTTACTACTACCTATATTTTGGCTCATAAGTGATACTTTAGAATGGATCACAATCTAACCTTGAAACAGAATCGAGCATGTTTGATAGAGAACCAGGACTTCAGAATCTTGTTGGATGTGTCCTCGATGGCACTCTTAAAAATTTCCTCTACTGTCTCCAAATTATTCTGTCTCCGTTCCAGGTCAACCAAGGCCATCTTTCCATGGACCAGCTCAGGGTAAGCTTCCCTCACTTGCCGAATCAGCTGGAACAAAAAAATATATAATTTTGAGCCAATCACTTACACCTTGGATACATCTATTCTTTCAGAGCATTTGTAGTCATCCCTGTCTCTATGATAAATCAGATGCATTGATGCTTTTAGCAACTGTGCCCAGTAGCTCAGAGTGTTAATTTAAGGATGCACTTAACACCCAAGCATGAGATGAAATAGTAGCTGAAATTTCATCCCTTACTACATTCTGTTACATGCATGCTACACACATAATTCATACTTGTGACACTATGTTATTGAGATATATTGTCAAACATAGAAACAAATATATAAATATATAATCACTAAAACTTTTCTACCCATGTGCATTTAACTGGGCATAATTTTTCATTCCCTGCAGGTGTTACAAAATTATTTGCAGCATTTAATCAGGATTGAACAGAGCTTTCAGATGATACTCATAACTTTAAAATTGCATAGCCAGTAGTTTCAGCAGCTGTGACAAAAATTCATGTGGGCTATTTTTTCTCACTCAGTACAGGCCCAGAATCTCTCTCCCTTCCATAGCTGATGAGAGAATATCTGTTATAATTTAGTCAAGACAGTGGCATAGAATTGTGGGAATTTGTAATCACCCCAGGTTAGATCAGACAGACATTTGCTTACCTGGCGAGCGAAGTCCACCTGTCCCTGCTCCTCCTCAAATGCAGCCCATTGCAGTCGAACCATGGGCTTCTTAGGGCAGTGGACAATGCAAGCTCGCCTATAAACCTCTCGTATTGCTTCCAGAGGTGTTTTGGATAGTGCAGATAATCCTGATGATATGCCATCTATCTTTGCCTCAGGCAGCTCTCTTGAAGAGAGTTCTTGAAGCACTTTACTCTGGTTGCCTGCATCATCATGGACAATAGGATCAGTTGCATCCCCTTGAACATTATTAAGAAGATCTCGAGCTCTGGACATGATCTGTTTCACATTCTCCTCTGACTCTGCACGAAGCTTTTCATGCTCCTTAGAAGAGATCCACAGGTCTTCATCATCTTTCACCAGGCCCTTGGCCTTTTTTTCAGCATAGAGCTCCATGTAACGAGCATATCGGCACCAGAACTCCTCATAGTGGGCACAGGCAATCAAGCATCTTTCAAATAGAATGACTACACGTTTATGGTTCCCCTGTTCCATCTCAAACTCAAGATAATCTCTCCATGCCTTCAGCTGCTTTATGTCCAGTGCTTTGATGTGGAAGTATGGACGTTTGATCTAAAAAATATGAAAGAAAACCACATTCACTGATGAACTGGTGAAAGATCATTTGAAGATTGATGGTCATACATAACTTCTATATCCATTGCAGTATGAAAGTTAGTTTTAAGGGAAAATCATAGAGGATGAGAAGCATCATAAATTTATTTGATAAGTTTGGGAAATGTTCTGCATGGCTATATTTTTCCATTTCACTTCAACACACTGGAATGATTTTTCATGCATTATGAACCTCACTCAGCTCTCCATGGCGTCACTCTTGAGAAGGATGCATTTTATCATTTTCTCTATGTTACCAAGAGAACATGTACCTTATCCTCAAACTTCCATCTCTTCTCCACCTCAGCTTCATTGTCTTCATGGATCTTGAGAGCCTGGGCAACCACTTTCTCTTTAATGAGAGCAGGGATTCGCTCTTCAGGCTGAGTGACAGTTTTTGGATTCCTCTCAATCACAGGTGGCTCTTCTTCATATGGGATTCCTAATTCTTTGCAAGTCTCCTTCTTCAATTGTTCATATTCCTCAGGGAAAAGAATATCCTTTGGATCATGCTCTCTCACATGTTCCACAAAACTGTAAAATCAAGGAGATGCAAGGTAATGAAAATCAAACCAAGCAATGGGAAAGGAAGCCCAGATATCACATCACACAACCTGTCCCAATGTTTATTGAAGAGTTTTGTAGGAGTTGCAATCACTCTGCGATAGATAGCAGAGGCATGCCTGAGTCTCCCATTATCCTTTTCCCAGCCAATATATGCCTCCCACAGTGGATCTGACCTGAACTCTAACCCTGCAGTCACCAGAGCTCTCTCGCACTGCCTGTTTCATGCATGGAAGAGCAGCTCAATCAAATGCAAGTATTCATGTAATCCCACACTTAATTTCTCATGACAATTGAGGTTAACCTTCGCATCCGCCCTTCCCCATCTGGGAACTGTCGATGTATCTCCCAGTACAAATTGAGGTATACAATCCACAAATCAACAGAAAGTGGAATGGCTTCCAAACCTCTTTCCAGAATGCAGAGGGCCCTAGAGAAAAATCAATAGATGTAGCATCAATATGAAGGAGGAAAAAAATCAAAAGTGCAAGATGAAGCAAGAACTTCACCCACCTTTCCAGATAGCCATACTTCTTTTCCAGATCACTGTATCTTTTCCAGTATGCATAACAGTAGGGATAGAGTGGCAGGAAGGCATTGTATACTCCCCTGGATGCATCTAGGTTATCCTGAATATGAGAAACAGGTCTTAGGAACTATGAACCTTTAAAGACATTAAATTTAAATTTAAAAAAATAGCAGTTCCCAAACTGCATGGTGTGCATTCCAGATGAAAATCCTAAGACATTGCCAAAGCAAAGTTGAAGAAGTACAAAATGTTGGATAACAAAAGTACAGGAAAATAAGTGAATGCCAACATTCACTCCTAAACTGACACAGCTGACATTGGAAATTACAGCACACTTATCTTTACTACTCCTATTCGTATATATATATTTCCCTGAATCACTTCAACTAAGCCAGCTGTTTGTTTCTGGCCATGTGGTGCTGTCCCAGCCATGACAGGCCTCTTGCTGTCAGGACAAATTTTCATTAGACTACATGGCTGGAGAGGGAGAGAAAACTAAGTAGTAGCATTGGTTGATGGGTGGTGGGGGGGATTGTCAAGGAAAGTATGGGCCATAGAGGAAAACTTTTGGTCTGTTGTTGCAGGAGTTTGAGAACCACTGGATCACAAGGTGCCTGATGACAATAAATCCCGCCACCAGCAACAAGACAACTTTAGATGCTTGGGATTGTCCTGTTAGGTATATTTGAAAGGTATTCATTTCCTATAAACCAATCATAGAATCAGCAAAACGGATAAGATGATAGATAGTGTCTTCAGATTATGTTTACCCCTCAATTAAATGAGCTCCATAATTTCATATAAACACTATTAGTGAGTTGTGAAGTAGTAGTTCTCTCACTCAAAGAGGGGTGTCAGGGAGGTATGAGGATCCATTGTGTCCAAGTGTTCCATGCACTTCACTCATCCCCATACATCCCTGACATTAGTGATGATTATAATCACAAGGTATTCCTCAACTCTCAAGTACAGCTGACAAGAGCACTAGGGAAGGGGAGGTAGGCAGAGGAAAAGTCTATTTGAAAAAATACTTAAGAAACAGCATAGAAAAAAAGCAGAAAATGATTAATTTTTGCAGATTCCATCAGATCACTGTTTCATTTCCATTTAAAGTATCACCATGTTAACATATAAGTAAGACAAAAGCCTACAAATAGGTTTTGTCTACACAACACTGCTATTCCCACCAGCAGGAATGAAAATTTTACCTTAGGCTTATTAGTTAAGATTACAATACCATAAATAAAGCACCTTAGTCACAGGCCTGGACATGAAAGTTAGCTTCTAGAGAATTGAAGAGTCACAAAATTACTATGAACTAAGACAGTTGCAACCTTAGGGACCATCCATAAATTATTCAACACCCTACCAGGGACCACATCAACATTATGAAGCATTACATGGGAGAGGAGGATGGAATCGATCCATATCATTATAACTTATCATCCAGTAGTCCTATACATTCCACATAAGCAGAAAACTCTCTTACCACTGACAAAGTCAGCAAATAATTACAGGATGGAAAAGTTTTCATAACTGCAACAGCTGGGCTCTTTGGGGGGCAAGAGGCTTCCTAGACAAGTAGAAGTGGCATTTGTGAAGGCATAAATGCAAGAATTGGTTTGCATTTTCATTTTGGGGGGGGGGGGGTCATTCAGGGTTTCCTTTATAAATATGCAGATGCAGAAGTAGACAAAAAAGGAGAATAAAAACTTGTTTCCCAGCTTGAGAAACCCAGCATTTTATCATCTAGATGGGGGGGGGGGGGGGGGGGGGGGGAAGGGAGGAAGAAATGTCAAATATTGAGTTACATAATATATGTGAATGATCTCATACATGCCTGCCATCCTACACTCAGTACATTATCAAAACAAGGGTGAAGTTGCTGAAAAATGACATCTCTTTTTCAATTAGAAAAGGCCAGGTACCAGCCATTCCATGATGGACAAACAGCAGGCCAGTACTTCATTCTGGATAACTTTCTTGTTTGAGGATCACATTCCTGATAGATTATATCTCTAAAGTTAAAAAAAACATCAAATCTAGAGCTCAAAATTGCACTAAGAACGGACAGCAATTGTCAAAAACCTAGGCCTACTACCATAGGGACACTGCCAAAATACAAAGCCGGAATCTGTGCTTTCAGGTATCGGCATACATTTCATACATTTAGACATCAGTTCCACACTCGTGTTTCCATGGCATCCAAAATATAACTTTGCAGGTGATTATCAGAGCAGATAATCTGCAAGAGAAGGACAAGATGGTTCTGATGAAGATAGGCTAAATACAAAAAAATATCAGAATGATATAGCCTGAAATGCATTATTCTTCCCACCTCACCCTTGATGCTAAGCCCATGGAATGTCATGGGCTAAGCATGCTCAAACACAGTCTTAAAACCTCAAATGATTCAGAATACTGATCCCCAATGGACCTTACTATGAATATAAGCCTACCAGTAGTGGCAGCAGCTCAGGGACTTCTTCTGTAGGACTTCCCATCATTCCAATGATAACACTCTCAGAATAGGACTGTCTTACTTGTGAACAGCTTCTTGGGCCTTCCCCATATACATGACTCATGACTCGAGCCTTACGCTGTACATTTCATGTCTCTCAGTCCTATAGGAAATATCTGCAAGTCATGCTACATTGACTGTGCAACTCCCTGCCAACTTGCATCTTGAAATCCAATCACAAGTTAGTTCCTACATTTTGAAAGCATGGTCAACAGGGATGCAACAAGGAATGTAAGGGGATTAGAAACAGACTATGGAGACCACATTGTGTGTCCATGTTCCTCTTTGTTGAGAAATATAATTAGCTCTGCCTATGTTTATTGCTGGAGTCTATTGAATTTCAACTGAGGCAGAGCACTTAAGAACAGCAAAGATAAGCTAACTTTACTTAAAAAGCATCAAGTCACCAACTTGCAGGTTAGAGTAAGTGATATCACCCACATAGCCAAATAGAAGAGGAGGTAGATGGATAAGACTGACTCATTGGCCATAGGAAGTATGTCAATGAGGGATTAATGAATAGATTTGGAGGACAGAAAATCAGATGAATTGTTGAGTGCTGTTGCATGCATTGTGAGTATACACTGCAGGCATGATGTGAGAGTGCAGTTTACAAGGCATGAGGCATCAGCTTATGAGAGGTCAGGAATAAAGTCCATTGGGACTCTAGGTAATATACACACTAATGCCAAGCTAGTTGGATTAAGAGCTTCATCATTCCATTTTTAGAGAGGACCCCTCAAACTGTATGGACATGCATTGTTGGCTCAGTTCCAGTGGTTTTCAGGACCCAATGGACTGTTCACCTCATGACCATCTTTATGCCCCAACCATCAGAGAGATAAGTCTTGGATACAGCAATACAAATTTTGATGACCACAATGGTAACAATACTGCATGGCATAATATTGAATATCATAGTGTAGACAGTACATGATTTGAATTATTACTGGTGTCCCTACTCCATGACAGTCACTTTCATTAACATAATGGCAATTCACCAAGCCAGCCCTAAGATGGAATGTTGGATACAACTTCTCCCAGGTTCCCCAGATGGCATTGCTTTTCTTGACCAATTATCTGTGCAATCCATGTGATGTAATAAGCTGAGTCATCACCAACTTTTACAGAGTTATTTATTCCTTGCTTAACTTTTCCATCTAAGAAGTATCTTTTCCACACCTATTCAAGTCTACTTCAGCACCAATTTCAGCTACAGTTAGAAGATAACAGGGAAAGAGTATACATGTGGCACTTTATTGTGGCAAAGGTTGCAGCACCTCCATCCCTGATAATCTACCCCAGTCCTTGCCAGAGCCAATTCTCTTGCACATGCTCCATGGATAGCCCTCATTTCTGATTAAGACAAAGTAAAAAATAACTCAAAAGAAAGGCTCTGGTCCTTCTGTGGATGCCAATGCCCATCAACGAGCAATCAAAACTCCTAATGTTGCTGGAGAATGCTCATGACAACCAGACATACACTTGGACACAAGAGCCTAATTTTTCAGCAACTCATTTTCACCTAGGTAGTTTGCACAGAGTGATTGAAGGCTGGAGGGATATTCAGAGCCACCAGATGGAGGTAACAAATACATGTAGTTTTCTCTTTTTCTTGGATTTAATCAGGAAATATATCATTATTTCCCTACTCCAGTTAGTCATGGTTCGTTATTCACAAAGGGAAAAAACCCCTTCTTATCCTCCTCCCTTGTCCCATCCCTACCAACCAAGACAGGCAAAGTTTATGCCCTAATATAGTCAATAAATCTTTAGCAAATGATGGTAAGTCCAATGAAGATGTACCTCAGCTACTACCCCACATTCACATACCAATGTTATATCAACTAATCAGGGAGTCAAATATGGAACTTTGTCTTGCTCTCCCTGTTCCTTATCTAAATGTGCACAATGTTATATCATATATATAACAAGAGACTTGAGAACCTTAACAGTTATCACTATGACTTGAGAACGTTCACTGAGGTCACCCAAGTCACAGCATGAGATGCTCTCCCTGTCTCTCTCTCTAGGCATATGTTTCAAAAGCATGCACAATTGTGTCACACTTCGACTTGAAAATTAAGGTACAGATACATTATAAGTGTATTTCGAAGGCTTATGATGCTCCTTGATGATCCATAATAATACAATTTTTTGCTACAAGGTTCTAATATATAGCATAGAAAACCTTATTTTTAAAAATATCCCTTGAGGTCACATTATGCTTTGTCTGGGAACACTATAGTTCAGAACAAAGCTAGAGCATATTTTCTGACTCAACAGCACTGCATAAAGCTTGCACTTTCAAACAAAAGCCATTTCCCACAACTTCACAAGGCATAAGCGTAGGTAATAACCATACATCTTGCATGGCTGAAGGCACTAAGAAAGCAAGATTCATAGAGGAGAGCCACCCTTCAATACTCATAAGTCTAGCTTTACATTTGATATTGAAGAGAAACTCACACAACTGGTAGAAATTACCACAGCTCTCCTGAATGACTCCTACTACTATTCATTGGTCAGATTGATATGGTAGAGAATGAGTACTCATGACAGAAGCAAGTCAATATATC